ATTATCAACATCCAATATATCTGAGTCTAGGAACGCTAACTATAGTTTTTAAATATTTGAAAAGCCATGAGCTCATCAGCGGAGGCCATTTTCCTCGGTACGCGTCCACTTGCTGCGACAGCTGAAACTGTGAGTTTTCTGAAATAAAATACATTTCATTCAAGCCTGGAAACGGAGGATAAATTATCAATCGCTTCATCTGTTGCTGAGCGCCTCTGCTGCCAAAGACTTGACTCATTCTCTCAGCGGATTAGGACACTTTTGTCCGTTTACAATTTCATCAGTTTCTCTGTTTGTCTGCATGGCACAGCTTAAAAATCTTGTGATTTTTTCCTCTCCCTTTACTTTACTTTGCCAACACAGGGACAGAAGCCAAAGGGATTTAATACACTGCGAGCAGTCATTGAAAAACAGGCTGAAACAGTGCCGGGTTTTGGACTGCGTTCACAGAGGCCATCTGCAAGCTGCTGCGCACCGAGAACCGAGGCGAGCTGGTCTAGAGGCGTGATGGCAAAGCAGTGTGATGCTGGCCCCAGAATAAACAAGCCATTTAACTGGACAACCTTCATAAAAGCAACTATTGATGCTGTTCTTTTTCCCCCCACCACACCACGTGTTGTTTCCTCGCCCCGCTGTTGGCTCGCTTTCACATTGATTTCTGAAGGGGTAATTGTCTCTGCTGTTTCCCTTCTACTGTCATTTAACTTTTACACGTCTTTATTGATATCCCATTAGAACCGATGGACGTTTCCGCCACAGTCGTCACTCGTGTGTCCGCGTAATCGACGCCTCTCGTTCCTCTCTGAGCCGGGATCGATGGCGGCCATCCGGCTCTGTCTAACCTGCTGCAGCCGTCCCATTCATTCAGGGGGTCACATACCACGACCATGTGTGAAAATTCCTGCCTGCGTTAAGCGAGCACACATGACCGGAGAGGGGGTTCCCAGCGCGCCAGGTGGCGTTCAAACACATATGCAGACGGGAGCGCAGACTGTGGCTTCTAAAGCCTCCCCTGCACTTGTGTTCACCGAATACGCACACATGTGGCTCCAGGAATTACGTTTAAATCTACTGGACAACTGGCCAGCATTCTAAACTGGGCAACACACACCCCATTCCTCTCTAACACACACACACACTGATTAAGTAGACCCTCTCGTTTCCCTCCCCGGGCCCTTCAGGATCCGGCTACCCCATGTGGAGCAGGTGGGCGACAGGCAGACCAAAGTCTCTGTAAACACACACACACACACACACACACACACACACACACATGCTCTCTCTTTTTCGCTCCACTTCCTCTCACTTTCCACGCACCTCTTTTTTTTAATGACCATGGATATGTTAAAGAGCTCTGCCACTTAAAGCAGCAGCCTCCCTCCACCGCTTAATTTGACATGCTTGGGAGGAAAACTAAGAAAGACCCCTATTGTGGCTTTTCAGCAGTCTCCAATCAAGCCTGCCACTCAATTAGCCAAAGCAGGCCAAGAAAAACGCAGCACATAAAAATTCATGTTATTAAAACCTTTTTCTGGTGCTTCTGTGTTTCTGCACATTCAGACCTCTGAGCATGCCTCCTGTTGAATCCTGATATTACGATTTAGCCGCCCAGTTCACCAAAACAAAGGGAGAAAGACGCACATGTTTCTAAAATAAAGGAAAATGTAATAAATATGGATCTTCTCCGTGTCTCGCGCTGGCGTGTGTAATCAAGCCCCCTTTTCTCCAAAGATGAGTCACGGCAAAAGGAGACGCACAGGTGAAAACGCATCGACAGAAAAATGGAAAGCAATAACGGTAGGTGACAGACGAAATGGAAGCAACCAAACAAAGAATCAGACACTTTTAAAAAAATCAATCCGTGGTTTCTGCCAACAAATGGAGGAAAATTCAGCGTTAGTTCTTGGCGGCTGTTTACTGACAACACAGAATGTGAATTAGGACCGTCTGGGTTGTGTTCAGACCCTACATGTTGACTAGTTTAAAAAAAACTCACTTTGATGTTCTTGTTTTACTCGTCTGAAATTTGCCGCTGCTGTTTGTGAGAGTGTGGATCTTTTAAAAAGCAGGATTGGAGTCTTTGGGGAGGCTGCACAAGGTAAAAGGAGGCTTTAGCAGATGAAAGACTCAAAACAGAAAACAACAGCAGTTAGCAGTAGCTTTGATTAGTCGCTCTCCATTTCCCCTCAAAAAATAATGTCTTTAGCGTGGAAAGCTGGGGGTGCTGAAGTTGGGAATTATCCTCCTCCTTTTCCTAAAAATGTTGTAACTTAACTCAACAGTAACGTCACAAAAGCAGCAGCGGCGATCAAAAGGAGAGGTGCTAACAAAAACGTTGTTAGCTGGGGCACTGTTATAGAGGTAAACTAAATAAAAATAAACATCAGAAATCTAATTCTCTACTTGTTGCCGTTTACATGCTGGCTAGCATTAGCATTGCAACACAAGTAGCTCTACGGGAAGCTAAAGTAGCAGCTAATGCTTCAAAAGATAAACCTGAGGGATTGTTTATTCCTCCATCTTGACCTAGGACTGGGCGATAAATCGATTCTATCAAAAAAATTAAAATCAGTTGTTTATGAAGGTTTACTTTTTCAAAATCTGGATATTTTTCCACTCCTGGGCTTCCGGGGATCATAGTAAGGTCATCTCGGATGTCTCAGGTAACTTCTACAACACTGTTTGACTAAAGTGGCTCGCATGGATGTTTTTCCAACAAAAGCACGGCCTTAATGTTAAAGGCCAAGTTCACCAAAAAAACATATTTTACTTCCTATTTTTGAAACATGGTCGGTCACTCTGAGTTTGACATGCAGGCTCAGCATGAAAACAGTCTTTTACCCGTAATTCTTGCGTTTGCAGGGGACAGAAAATAGACACAGGCACGTTTGGCTTAGAAAATCCAGTGATTGCACATCATAACGTCAATTCATGAACTGATGCATCTTGTCTCGAGACGGGGAAGGCTGTTGTTGATTTAGTCTCCACAGGAGAGAGCAGAGCACGTCTAGGCTAGTAGAAGCTAACTGTTAGCATTAGCAGCTACACCACACAGCAGAACTCCTTTAACCCCTCCTTTCCACCAGAGCCGTCAGCAGCACGTTACTAGAGCAGCACGTCATAGCTGCTGATAGGAACCGCTGTGGTCAACAGAACCTTTTCCACCGAAGCCGTCAGCCGCCGTCAGCGGCGCGAGTCGGCCGCGTCTCAGGAGCAGCATGTTACGGCCCTTACGCGCCGGTTCTATTTTCTACGCGCTACGCCTCTGAAACGGGTCAAGTTCGACATTTTTGAGGAAGGAAAGACAGGAAATCGGACGCGGAAACGGAGCGAAGCTTCCCGAGATTTTCAGAATAAAGAAACGTACTGCCTTCCGGTTGCTTTACTTTAAAAAAAAGTTATCACCTAGCTAGCGGTCTCCTTTGTTTTTCCATAATGGATGATGAAAGGTTGATTACTGAAGTGGAGAAGTACCCAATCCTGTTTGATCCCAGTCACAGTTTTTATGAAGACGTCAAGAAGGATAACGCATGGAGTGGCGTATCTGCAGTTTTGGGGCAAGATGGTGCGTTCATGCTAATTATTAACATGATTTCTTTTCTGTATGGACCTCTGTCAGTTATGCTGACGCGTGATTTTGCTAATGTCGCGTGACTTCGTGCTCTGTCGGTGACAGCTGCTCCCCTGCTGCTTCGCGTCTCGTGGGAAGGGCCAAGCAGCAGCTTATGCGAGCAAGACGTCCTGCTGCAGTAACGTGCTGCTGACGGCTCCGGTGGAAAGGAGGGATAAAGCTTGGTTCATGCTTGAGGTCCGCACGGCTCCGCGCGGCGAAATTACGTCATTTTAACAACCACGCCCCTCCACCGCGCCTCCGCACGGCCCAAACTTTCCGCACCGCGCACCTATGAAATTTTCTAACCACGCGGGCGGTCGGACGCGGAAAAACATGGCGGACTGGCAAGAACTAGTATGGCGGAGGTTCGTAAATACAGACATTTGTATGATTCAGCTCTCAGAGATCACCGTGATCAACATGTTGTTAATAATTCTTGGAGAGAAATAGCTCGCACTGTCGGAAAAGACGAGGACGCTCTTAAAAATGCTGGAATGCCATGTTGTAAACAACATTAATTTCTACTTCTACTATGGTGTAGTGTTGGATGCATGCCGTAGAGCTCCATGCTGCCCCCTACAGTTTGGGAGAATAGTGGCTCACCGCAGAGACAAGCCGCATGAACCGTAAATGCTGCAGGTTGTGAAGCGCGTTCCATCCGCGAGCCGCATCACCAAGCGGAAAGTAAATGCGTCAAGCATAAACCAAGCTTACGGCTTGGGTTACTTGTGGAGATAAAACATCAACGCTGCCGAGCAAATAGAGTCACTGGTGGACTCGTGAGACTCAAAATCCTGCCGTCTTCTCCTCCCCTCTGACCTGGCTCACTTCTAGTTTCTGAAACAGCAGCGTGAGAGCTTTTCTTCCCACAAAAACGACTCATAGGGTTTTCATTTATACTAGAGACTACTGCAAATGTGTTGAAAAAACAAGTCAACTCGGTCTTTAATAAAGTTTTTAATAAGCCGAAGCGGCTAAAACATGCCCATCTTTACTTCATTTTCATTTAGAGATGGTGCCTAACTCCAGTGGTCATCGGGTAAGAGACAGGGGACCTTCTGAACAGGTCTCCTGTCCATCACAGGGACACACACAACCAAACACGAGAGAGAGAAAGGAGAAAACCCACAAACGCATGGGGAGAACATGCTAACTCCACTCAGAAAGGCCACAGCCATAGCCGCTGCGAGGCAACAACACACTATGCAGCTCTTAGGATTGTTTATGATTCCTTTGGTTGTGTTAATCATCTAATATCTACTCCTTGGCGACAATACATCAGCGCCTGCAAATGGGATACTTTGGCAATTCTCAACCACTGAGACTGATTAAGTTTAATTAATGACTGCAAAGGTTGAAAATGAAAATCCCAGAGATGATCACCCACCTGGCCGCGACGTATAACGTCCTGTTCATGATCATGATGAGCTGGATGTCCAGTTTGTGCCGCTGCGTGTTGTTCCTTCCAGGTTTGTGGCCCACAAATGCTGGATATTGTTTTGTGTCTGTAAGAAGGAAACAGAAGCATGTAAACAAACATGTTTGCTTTTGCGTTTTTTTTCTGGAAACTGAAATTCACTAAAATTCTCGTCAGTTGGTCTCTCAACGTGGTTGATAAGGTTTTTTCAACGATGAGAACGGGAGAAGGGGCTCCCGGATGCCCCTCCGGGACAGATCAGCTGTCTGTGGAGGACTCTGAAGACGTGTGGATATTCGTGGTGTTGGTGTCGGGTTTCCTGCTGATCGGCATTGGAGGCTACCTGGCTTACCGGAAAATTAACGAGCTGTTGAGGAATACTGGCCTGATCCCGGAACTCAGAGATGGATTGCACCGCGCTGTGAATTCACACTCACAGAATTGTCAAGATGAATCGTAAGCTTGGAACTTTGGCCGAGATTCATTCTTTGGCACAAAAGATGGATGCCATCAAGGATAGAGTGGACGAATCAGCACGGATTGGGATAGATTAATGTCCATTATTGGGATTCTGAGAGGTTGAGGACCAACAAACTGTAAGACAGAGAGGAAATTATCTCTGTCTGGCCCCAAAACAATTTCTAATCGGAATCTGGCGCCCTTGAGCCTGCAAGGCTCCAACGAAAACTCCCCCCTCAGAAGATATGTGGAACGTGACGTCGCTATGGCAACCCAACTCTTGTCTCCTATCCCAGCCTGGGCGGGACTGCGGGAAGGCCGTGAATCGTTCCAGGGTCACTGCAACCCTCCAACCCTCAATGCTCCTCCCCCTATACACACTGAGGTGACGTGCGCTGCTTATCGTGGCTGCAGGAACTGAAGTGGGGATAGTCCCAACCCACCACCCCACCTAGTGGACACTTATGTTGTGTTGTCTGAAGTCTGTTGCATATCTGTCTGAGGTGTTTTTTTGCAGAGCAAAGCTGCCCTCCTGGTGGAGAGTAACTCTGAAGTGCCTTTTTTTTCCCTCCACCTGAACCAATCCTCATGTAACCCTCTTATCTCTATTAAGGTAGCGCGACTCAGGGTTGCGAATGACCACAGTCACCAATTCTTGTCGCGTCTTGCCCATGTATGTCTGATCTCTGAATTGTGTGTACTGAAACTCTAATTTCCCTCTGGGATTAATAACGTATCTTTGATTGATTTGATTGATGTTCGCAATTTCCTCATGGGCTTTAGGTCAAATATGAACACCAGCTAGATAAAAAGATGCAGCCCCAGATTTGGATTGAGCTCTCCCTGCAGCCATAAATTTTCTCTATTGTTATATAGCAGCTTTGGATGAAAATGCTTGGTTTCAGGAAGTAGTCTTAGGCGTACAGGTCTGTGTGAGGCTGGCTGGCTTGTGTTTGACGTCTCGTGGCCAGGACATTCAGCGTTTACGCCCACAGAGATGAAGAACAAGACACGATCCACACAGAAACACCATATATACAGAGGGAACAATGACCATATCTTTACAGCTTTCCAGAGCCTACACTATCACAAACAGCATAAGACACCCAACAGGAAAAGCACAGGATTATCCTTTGATGTGAGGTGGGCTCTGTTTCAAACGCTGCCTTAAGTCCTTTATTTTAGTCTGTATAGCGGGGCTATCCCCGGGTGCCAATTTGCGCTCGGTGCCATGAGAATGCGTTCAGCTCGGGGAAGGTGAGGGGATGTAGGGGAGGAGAGGGCTGGGAGGGATGTGGAGGCGCAACAGGATGGAACAAATGAGAAAGATACTGAGAAGGAGGATCTGCTAAGTAGAAGACAAAAAGGGAAAGAGCAAAAGTAGAGTGAGTACTTGTAATGAGAGGTGGAACCAAGCAGAGAGCTGGTGAAAAAAAAAAAAGGGGGAAGAGAAGCGAGGAGAAAAGATTTACTTACAGTTGCCATGTGAGATGCTAATGGGCTCGCTGTCCTCGGGGAAGCCCGCCCCGGCTATTTGCAGTAGCGTGAAGTAGAGTACCAAGGCCTCTGACCTCATGGTCGCACCAACACTGCTGCTGCTGCTGCTGCTGCTGCTGCTGCTGGTCCTCTAGAGATTTGGCTTAGCCTGCACAAGGAGGAACACAAGCAGAAGATAACGATGAGACGGAGAAGAAAAACATAAAAACAGCTCTTTCATCTGAATGAATCATCACTTTGATTTGGAGACAAAGAAGTGTAGAAAATCAGTTAAAAGATTCCTTAAAACTTCACCTGAATCAGTCGGGCATCATGCACAGCCTGCTCAGGTACATTTGTATGCATTTACGATGACCCAAGTAAGCCACAGATAAAGTGAAACCAAACTAATTGGATTAGGGAGGTAATATGCGTCATAGATCGATGTCAGGCAGAGCAGATCTCCATGCTACAACCCCCCCCCCCCCCCCAGGGTCTGAGATCTCGTTAAAGGTAACCTGCTGCAGAGCTTCAGCCATGTGTGGAAATGGGGCGAGACAACACCTTATTTCCAACCCGCCGATCTCTTCCAAGGGTAGCGATCCCGACTCTTACAGGTAGATGATAACCCAGCTGCTAAATCTGTGCACCGGTGTGGACGAGAGACGGAATAACACTCCACTATACCACGGCAGTGATTTAAGAGCCACCTGAAAAGCTGCACTTTTCTCTCCTCTCTGCTTTATTTGTCACTGGGTGTTAACCCACTCTTATCGGCGGAAAAAGGAAGCTGCGTGTTTGTTTTGTCGTGATTTCTTTTCACTTTAAAGGTCAAGTCCTCACTTCAGCTGACCCAGGAGTGTCTTTTTCACATTTCAGCCAACATTAAGCTTCGCTAGTTGGATTAAACAGGACATATTGAAAAAGATCATTTTAAATGGTAATTTTAAACTTAAAAAAAAAATTTAATTACCGTAAATCCTCTAATACAGGCCCGGGCCTGTATTAGAGGATTTACGGTAACTTTCTGAACATAGATGGGAAGTAAAGCATTTTACGTTTCGCATATAAATAAAAAATCTGAGTAAACTGGTAAAGACAAAGATTTTGAAGAAAACAAGGACAAATCCTAAAACTGATTATTGATGCTCCTTTAATCTCCTAATGGCGGCTCACATACAGGCGCACCTTTTAGTGAAAATGACCAACAATGTTGCCATTGCACAAATGAAGCCAGCTGAGCTTTGCTTACTGCAGCTTGTGGCAAACAATTGCACCCATGAATCATTCGAGACAATTACTGCATCTGTAATCTAATCAAGAATAAAGCGTTTCATTTGCATCAAGCGCCTTCTCGGTTTTTCTGCTTTATTTATTTCAGCTGAAGCTGCAGGATTGATGCACAGCCAGCTAGATGGAGCAGGAGACGCTTCAGGGATGAAGAAGAATTGAATAAAATAGCCGATTTCATTTGCTCCAGTCTGATAAAAGTTGTTTATCCCACGCTGCATTTTCATTCGCTATTGTACGTGAGGGGGAGAAGGACTGGGAGGGAGGAGGAGGAGGAGGAGGGGTTACATTCTCTTTTCTCTGTCATGTCCCTCTAACCCTCTCTTCCCCCATCTTTCTTTCTCTCTCCATGCTCCCGTGAATCTCATTCAGGAGAGGAATGAAAACACTATTCACTGGTAGATTCATTTCAACGCTGAGGAGAATACCAACACTAAAGCCTGGAGACGACCTTGATCTCAAAAGCTTCTCCCTTCCCCTCCATCCTTTCTCACTCACCGGCCAGCTCCTCTTCTCCTCACACCACATTCTGCTCTGTGGGAAAAGATCAAAGCCGACTTTGTTCATCTTTCTCTTAACCGAGCTGCTGCACATTTAAACTCACCCTAAATCGTAAATAGAAATGTCCCCCCCCCCCTACAGTAGACGGAACCTCTTAGGAGAGTTAAAACGCGAGTCTTTTCTGAACCTTGACCCAGAACATTTCCAGTAATTGACTGATTGATGAGCAGGAAGCGGCACGAGAGAGAGCGGTTAGCCCTGAGGGAGAGAGAACGGTGAATGATGGATGGAAGCTGCGCTGACCAACAAAACAAGATCAGCGTCAGCGCAGCCGGATAAAACTCTGAACTCCTATTTTTAGACAGATATCACGGGAAATGTGACATCACCATTTGTGGCTAAAGGCAAACTTTTAATTTGATGCTTACAAACCCGTCGTGCCGTCTCCCATGACGCACAAAGCGACTTAAGTAAAAGCTCGACACCTTCCAGTGGCCCTTTCATAACCAGCTGCAACACACGAGTGAGAGGATGGAGCGCGACACAGTCGGTCTTCACCGAATCGCACACTTTTGCTTTGGAAAAGCAAATTGCTTCCTTGTGTGTAAGTGTGACTGAGTGTTTTAGGCTGTGATCTAAAACGCTACTTTTTTGGCGCAGCAGTGTTTAGACTCTCACACACGCTGAGAACATCGGGACGCGGGAACGAGGGATCAAAGGCATGCCCACATTACAGCGATAAATTACCTGCTACCGAAACACCCACAGCAGAGGAGGATGTGTGTAGATTCTCTTCCTTTCATAAGCTTTTCCTGAATAAAAGTAACTCCGGATATCTCTTCCTCCCACTCCAGCTTTTGATAGATAATATTTTGAGAAGCTTTGTTGCTATTCCTCCACACTTCTTACTCTCTCACAAAGATAAAGTAGCAGTGTGTGTGCGTGTGTGTGAGGTTTTAGGGTAAAAAAGGGAGGATATGGAAGACTTGATGAAGCTGGATGCTGGCAGGAAGTACCAGCAGGTAATAAAAACACAAAGACCCCCCCCCATAATCCCTCCACACCACACCCTCGTATGACTTCATGCACACACTCGCTTGCGCTGCTGGTAGCCTTGATTAGAGCAAAAAACACACAACTTCAGATTTTAAACAACATTCACGCAACTCAAAGCAGACAGCCAATCAGGACACAGATTTGCCCAATGGGGGGCAGCTGCATTAGCTTTCACAATAAACACATTAGCCAACTTAATGACGTTATTGCCGCTCTTGCATCAACACGTTAGCGATGGGTGCTTGGAGCTATAGCGCTCGTACAGAAACACATTTATTTTAACGACAAGGTCAGCCACAGCCGGATCCAGGTGAGGACGGGGACGGAAACACTAGCAGGCCTCTCTGTTTCGTTGTCAGCTCGTAGCAAAACGCGAGCAGACGAACGTGAAGACTGGTTCCTTATGAAACAAATTCATACACACATAATTAGTTCATCTTTCAAGGGTCCCAGCTGTTCGTCTTTTGAAGCCCCCACGGTGCCAGACTAAGCGTGTAATCGAGTGAAAGGCAGCTTTTTGATTACATCTGTGGGAACCTGTTGCTGATTGACTGAGGCGTCTGAAACTGAAGAAACACTAAATGTCTTTTTTTTAAGCAGCAGATGTTTACAATCGGCTCACGAAGACCCCCAGGTGCCCTCGCTACCACCAGAAAATAAACAAACGATGTGATGTTGCGGACACACAACATGGAGGAGGTCTTTTTTAAACAGATTGGTCCAAATGAGTATGGAAGCAGCTGAATTTTTCTTCTTGCATTGCAGCTACGTCTGTCACATTAGCTGTGTTTCTACCATCGTTTCTACGTCCATGACGTCCCAAAGACGGCGAAACAAACGTCAAACCCAATGTTTGGAGCTTGCAAGTGCAGCACCAGCTGCCGGATGCTGCGGCAGCGTCAATTTTTACAGCCGGACGAGTGAATTTCTCCATCAATAGAGCCAATATCCTGCTTCTTAATTGGAGTTAGTCATGAGCCATGACCAGACAAAGAGATCAGTCAGCAAAGACAGACCTGCCAGCAGTTGTAAGTTTTATCCCTCTAATATTTGCCCTTTTTGCGCTTATCTCCTCGTCTCCTCGACCGGCGTTTTTCAAACTCCAAAACTTTCAACACACCCATAAGTGTTGCTCAGCCTGAAGTTACACATCTCCATTAGCTTCTGGTAAAGCAGTAACTTCTTGAGGGATCATATTTGTAGCTGTGGCACGTTAAAGTCAGTAATGAAGCTTGTCGCAATATTGCGCCTTTGGCGCTTAAAGGGTTAACTAAATGGGAAGGGAAAACCAAGCAGAGGAGGGGATAAACCATAACCTGTGAATCTCTAAATACATAAACCTAACAGACTGAGGGCACAAGAGGACCAAAGATAAATCACTAGTGACCCGAGGAGTGAGGGGGACTAATTAACAAGTGGAGAAGGAATACACACACACACTAAAGTAGACTAATAAAAGAAAAGCTGAACCTATAGGAAAACTACAGAGGGGTGACTAGGAGAGACCTGAGGGAGACCGGGAGGGAGCTGGGGACAAAAAGGGGCATAGAACCTTAGGGGGCACCTGTGGGAAACCAGGTGGGAGAACCGGAGAGGGCTGTGGACCCGAAGGACACAAAACCTGCTAGGAGGGGGAACGTGAGGGAAACCTGGAAGGGGCTGGGGACCACCAGGACACAGAACATGACAGTAATAAGATATTTGAGACTGGATCCAGACATTCCCAATTTATCACTACTATTTCCATATTTTAATAACAATTCCTCTTTATTAGGTCTTATTTTTTGTTTTGGGGTTCTTGATTGGCCTAAGTCAGCAAATGCGCTCCATATGAAGATTTAAAAGCAGCAGCTTCTAGTAAATGCTGTCTGACAGCTTTGATACGACTGCAGTCTGCTTGTGTTTACATTTTGCAGTCTGGATAACGTCTGCAGACTTGCGCTGGAGGTTTTACAGATGACAGGAGAATGCCAGGGGCGAGGAGTAGCTGATGGCCAGTCACCACATTTGGTGGCCATGATGCTATTTGTACTTTGGAATTTGGTTTGAAACGATGCAAGCTGTGTTCATGTTTTTCCTCTGGCCGTCGAATTTTGGAGCGCAGGTTTGTTTCCTCTTTATGAGTTTGGACAACGTCTTCAGATGTAGATCCCAAAAATTGCATCCGGTTGTTTTTTGGGATTGCTTTGAGAGCTGAGACACCTGCAGAGTAACATCACCAGCAGTGAAACAGCTCCAGACTTTGTCAGAATATAAAAATGTGCTTGCAGCTCTTGAGATAAACAGATTCTCTAAACACCAATGAAATGCAAACAGCTGATG